TTCAGCACTCCCTCTGACATTCTCTACATATTCTTCAGGAGGAGATATGTGAAAAAGGCTTTTGTCTGATTTTAACCTGCTACTGTTTGTTTGTTTGTTTGTTTGTTTGCAGGCCTGGAGCCCGACACCCTGGAGAAGATTTGCCTCCAGGCGTCGGGGCTGATCAGCTGTGAGTGGTGCAGCGTGCGGAAACTTCCAGTCTTGTTCTTTCAGACGACTCAGGAGGAGTGCGTCCGCCTGCGCGAGCAGCTCAACATGTCACAGGAGGAGGGGGGCCAGTGGTACGACTGCGCAGGAGACCGTGAGTACTAAAAACACAACATGCAACACATCCCTCTGTCGCTCGTCTTGTCTTTAACACCGCGTCCACCCAGCGCTGGCTGTGTGCTCTGGAGTGTCTCCATGACAACAGTCTGTTGATAACGGCCGCTGTATGACCCACAATGCTCTGTTACTTTTTACTGCATGTTCTATTTCATCCCTGCTGACCGCCAGAGGCGGTGCTTAAAGCACTGAATATTCCCTTTGCGCATGCGCAGTTCGAATATGTATACCAACAATGTCACTTGTGACCCCTGGATGACCCGAGCGAGGTTATATCTTCCGGTGTCATCCGGGGTTCTGTTCCTTTTTTCTTCTCGCGTGCAGTTTGCATCTACTCCTAGAGCATTAGCCGAAGTTAATTGTATGGAACTTACGAAAAGGAAAAAAAAGAACAACATTTGTTGAACTACTTAAATAACAGTCGCTGGTAGTTTTCGCCCTCCAAGGGCTGCGACGGCCGTCCAACCCTCTTTAGGGAACTGTTTGTTTTGTTTGTACCTGACACCGGTAGGGTAGCCTCTCACTCCCCTCTACGGACGTAAGGTACGTGTTTCTTTTTTATTGAAATTTCCTGGCAAATTAGTGGCTGTGTTTCGCCAAAGCTAATTAGCCAAAGTTTAAGTTGTGGTTACAATCCTTGACGGTGAAGGCAGCGTTGTGCTTCCCGCTCCCGGTACCAGTGGGTAGCCTACTTTGTTTATTCTGTAACTCTGTATTATTACCTAGCCAGCTGTGGTTCTAAAGCGCTGAGTGAACGGGTTCAATTCTGCTCAATGAGGTAGATAAGCAGGATTCCTCATGACTTTGCTGGTATAAGTCATTCAGTGCTTTATCATTCGGGTCATTCAGGATTCATAGAACCGTAGTTACATTTGTAACTTTCGTTTTATATTTGAGATGGAGCGCCGGTTTCTCTCTACTCTCTACTCATTGAAAACTGAAAAAAGACGATGGTGTTCAGAAAAAAACGCTAGGTGGACACGGGGCCTTAACGAGTAAAATCCAGTTTTATTGCATCATTTATGAATCATAAACTTAAATACTCCTGAATCTGAAGATGACAGATGTTATTTAAATCCATCTCTTAACTCTTTTACTTCTCTCATTGCGTCTTAATCTCACCAACCCCCTCCCTCCCTGCGCATCCTTCCTCTCTCTCCCTCCAGACACGGACGAGAAGTTCATCGTCCTGATCTTCGAGAACGGCCTGGTGATGAACGAGCAGATCATCCTGGAGGACATCCTGGGAGAGATCGGCAAGACCAACAACCTGAGCAACTTCCCCGCAAAGCTCACGTTCGAGGAGGCAAACATCCGGCTGGTCAACTACAACAAGGCGTCCAAACAGAAGGAGGAGAAGGTGAGCATAGGGTTGGAGATAGACCGCGGCTTATCTGTACTGTCATCAATGATTCATCCGAGCAGCAGCACTCTTTGGTTAATTATTAAAACACTGCAAAAGCTGAATCGAGACGATATTTGTTATCTGTCCCATGATGAGACGGTCAGTAGGTGGAGATTTAAAAGCAGGGTTGGTCATTTTCCTCCAGATCCACTTTTTAAGATTCTGGTTGAAATTGTCTTTAGGTCCTGACAGAAATTAATAACTGATGTTCTCTGAAAAAGAAAACAAAGAAAATCCATCATCTGTATCAGTTTGTAAGTCTGTAAAAACTTTGACCAATGTCTGCCACGAGGTACCAATGTGATGAACCAATCAGACGCCTCCCTGTCTCCCTCTCTACCTCATGCGTGCACGAGCCCACACTCAGAGCATGAACTGAGGTCTGCTTCTGGACTAACGGCGCTCGTGCATGTAAGTGAGGGGGCGTGGCTTAAGAAGGAGCACAGAGAGGAGGGGGTGCAGACGGAGCACTGAGGGAATGCTACTTTCAAAATCATGCTAGTTTCAGAAAATTACCAACCCTGCCTTTAGAAGCCGTTAGTTTATAACGAGTTGAATTTGCTCGACTCTATCGGTTTGTAGCTTCATTGAAGGTTACATTTCGCATTTCTGGGACGTAACTGAAACACCAAATCGCTGAACACGCCTCGCGTGTTTTGTCACAGAATGTGTCGAAAGAAAAAAAAAAACAGAACATGAAGTTTGTGTAATCCGTGCTCCTCACAAACTGTTCCTCTCTGCCACAGAAGACCGCTCAAAGCCCTTCAAAAGTTGCCCATGTCTCCCTGGTTACCAAGGTTACCCCGGTGACCCCGGTCACCATGCCGACGAGAACACGCATGGCCACGCGCCAGCACAGCAGCACCTACGATGACGGCGGCGAAGAGGAGGAAGACATGACGGACCTGCAGCCCACCTTCTCCGGACCGATCATCAAGTGAGCGACTCCTCCCGTCAGGTCGCCGACGTCCGAGAATATCATCTTGATGTAACGCCGTTGTTGTTGTTTGTCTTCCAGGTTGATGGTGTACCCGCCTCCTCCAGCCAAAGGAGGCATATCGGTCACCAACGAAGACCTCCACTGCCTTAACGAGGGAGAATTCCTCAACGACGTCATCATAGACTTTTATTTAAAGTGAGAATTTGCGTCAATCGGTCGTTATCTCGCCCTTCCACCCTGAAGTCATCACTTCCTTTAACTCTCTCTCTCTTTTTTTTTTTTTAGATATTTAGTTTTAGAGAAATTGAAAAAAGAGGACGCACAAAGAATCCACGTCTTCAGCTCCTTCTTCTACAAGAGGTTGAACCAGAGAGAGCGCAGGACCGTCCCGGACGCCGCCAACCTGCCGTGAGTTTTTTCCCTCAGAGCAGCTTTTTCAAACGCCGTCCATGTTTCATCCAAATGAAAGACAATGTCTTTACGTTGTTTTGTTTTTTGATTCCTCAGAATCCAGAAAAGGAAGCACAACAGGGTAAAGACGTGGACTCGGCACGTCGACCTTTTCCAGAAGGACTTCATTTTTGTTCCCATCAACGAGTCGTGAGTTTCACGCTTTTTTGACATTTCCCACAAACATGCACGCTAGGGCTGGTTAAAAAAAGAGTTTTTTTCTTTGTTGTAATGACACCCCTCTCCACTAGGGGGCAGTGTGGGTGCTGTGAATTCAAGTCACTTTTGATCATACTGTACTTTCATGTTTTATTCTTTGGTATTAAAGAATAATGCAATAATAAAATACATTTAACAAATACAAGAAGGTACTGTGAGTAGTTATCTCGGTGTTTCTCTCACCTATGTGTAATATTAAATCGATATCGAAGCATATTGATCAATATCGAATACCCAGCTCTAATGCAAACACATCTCCCAGTCATGACCCGTACACTCTCTGTACAGCTTTTTTGTAAATATGTTTTGGCATTTGAAAGTCTAGACCAGGGGTGGGCAACTGGCGGCCCGGGGGCCACATGCGGCCCCCATCAACCCTCAATGTGGCCCTCAGGTAAATTTTTACATATCAATTAATTGGAAAAATGAAGAAAACAAAATCAAAGCCATCTGGCATGAAACCAAAAACATAATAATAATATTTGATCACTGGTATATGTTGAGTTAAATTTGAGACATAATTGATTTTAATCGTTTTTGTATCCTACAATTTGGCCCTCTGGCAGTGAGAATTAAATTAATGTGGCCCTTGCTGTGACCAAAGTTGCCCATCCCTGGTCTAGACCCTGACCATCAGACCACCCTACTTCTCAGGTGTTTCAAAGAGAAAGCTCTTCTTGTATTCAGACCAATGACTTGAGTCCTGTTGTATTCTAAATCTTCAGTTCTAAACCAGTCTGATGTCTTTGTTCCGTCAGGGCCCACTGGTACCTCGCGGTCATCTGCTTCCCGGGCCTGAAGAGTCCGGCGTTCGAGCAGAACCCGCTCTACCACAGCCGGTTTCCAGCCTCCACCTCGACCTCCAACCCCCCCTCAGAGGAGATCATCCCAGATCACTGTCGCCCTCTGTCCCCGGACAGAGACGGTGTGGACAGCTCCTCAGAGGACCGGTTGTTACCCGGCTTCCTCCAGAGTCCAGAGGGTCAGAGCGACGGTGACCTCGCTAACGAGAACTCGACCTTGGCGGGGAGACAAGAGCCTTCAAACACTGTGTCGGCGGCGGGGTCGCGTAACGGACCGACGGACGCAGAGCAACCGTACACGAGTGAGTCTCTCCGTCTTCTGAACGCAACAGCCACAGATCAGGACTCACTGAGCGTCTTTAACAGTGAGCACAGGGTGTAACCCCGCCTCTCAACCAATGACAGCTGGGATAAATATAAAACAGCGGCCGTTGTCATAGAAACAGGACGGACATGCAGCACTTCTCTTACGCTAGGTGGACACTTGACCTAAGAGGAAGAGGAAGAAACAGGAGTATAAAAGCGAGAAAAGGAAGCGTGAAGATGATGAGGATTAAAAATCAACATGGAGAGAAATCTTTCAGTCAGACGCCATGTTTATTTGTTATGTAAATACACTTTGATGTGTAATAACGGCGTGCTTTTGTCTGGGATGTTTCAGGTGAGTTGCACAGAATCAGCGTTTGTTACGGTTCAGGAAAACGAGACGACGACACCTTCACCTTCTCTGACGACCAGAGCTCCTGTCAGGTACGTCACCCTCCTCACACCGCCTTCATGTGGTAGCTTTACACCCCCAGGGGGAGGGGGGTGGGGGTGGTGGGGGTGGGGGTGGGGGGAGACCCAACAGAGACTTAAGTTTTACATTTATTTTGTGTTTCAGGATGAGTGCAGCGAGGACGGGACTGAAGACGCCGTCGCCTCAGACGCCTCCACCCTGGTGTCCAAACAAAACCTCTGCAGACAGTAAGTGCACTTCTGTCTTTTCACCAGCAGGAGGTGCTGCTGCTGCTCCAGATGATTCAAACAGCAGAGAGTGAGCTTTGACTGACTTCAGTTTCATCTCTCCTCCTGCAGGCCTTGTATCCTCATCATGGACTCTCTGCGAGGTCCGGCTCGGTCGACTGTGGTGAAAACGCTCCGAGAGTGAGTCACTGCTGAGATGATGCAGGAGTTTAGAGATTTAGGAACCTTTCTTCCTGATCTTAAAGAACATAAATGAGACAGAAGGAAGAAAACAGCGACACATGATCGTGTGTCGCTCAAATAATTTGTTCTTTTTCTTGTCATCCTGGTTCAGATCCAGAAATTCACTCAGAAAGAAACAGAAAAATAATCTCAGACAACATGTCAGAGAATCTGTCAAATTTAAAGTTTTCCTCAGACTCCCAATTAAAAAAAGCCAGTTCAACATTTATGTTCTCATGCCGGACTTTCAAAATGTGACGAATGAACTGGAACTCCATTTCTACTGTCATGCCAGAAACACATCCTAACAAGCTTAATAACATTAAGAAGAACTCATTTATTCAACTCAAGTATTTTAAATATGGACACACAGCCAACATAAAAATGAGAATAAGAAATACATTTAAAACTGCTCGTTATTAATTCTTTAATTATTATTAATTGTGTAACTGTGAACAAATAGTGGCAAAAAACAGGTCCAAAGTTATTAACTTGTTAGCTACATTAAGCACCCTGTTTTCATCCACCAAGGCATTATGGGAAATGTAGTTCCCAAAATAAGAGCATCATTACTCCATTAAAAACGACACAAATATTAGAACCCGGCTGATATGGGAAATTCTGAGGTCGATATTGGGGAGGAAAAATCTGATACCGATACTTTCTTAGTTCTTTGTTTGATCTGTAGAGAGAGATATAGATATAAACATTTTTATTGTGTTGATCCCTGAGATGCAGTCTTCAAACAAAGATTTATAACGAGGACAAGATGGTCACTCTGAGCATGTACGCGCTTCACCGCTCAACACTAGAGAGTGATGATGCTTGTTGTAATCTGCTGGTGACGGAGAACTGCTTGTTTAATACAATGATGCTCGAATAAAATTATGTTTGACTGGTGAATAAAACTAGAAATATCGGCGCATTTCTGTGATAAAATTGGCCGATACCGATCGTATATGGATATGCTGATATCAGCCGATATTATCAGTATTTATTGATAATAATAATCATAATTAATAATAATAATAATAACAACAGTATTTAGTCCCTCTTTTTTGGTGCTCTTTCAAACGTTTTTTAGGCCACAGAGTCAGAATTTAAAACGACCATAGCTCACCGTGCAGTTTCACTATAATAAACCAAAACAATAACAGCTGAGTTCAGGAGGAACATGTCCAAATTGTAGTTTGAAACTCTCTCTGACCATTTATAATGACCATTTTACCTGGATGATGATTCTAGTTATGAGTTGTTGTTTTTTTAATCTTCCGTTGTGACTCTTTGAATAAGGTGAGTTTAACCAAACCAACAGCTCAGGTTTGTGTGTGTGGCTCTGAGACTGAGTGTGTTTGTTTTAGGTACCTGGAGGTGGAGTGGGAGGTGCGTAAAGGGACTCAGAGGAGTTTTGGGAAGGATGTGATGAAGGGCTCGAGCCCACGTGTGCCTCAGCAGGATAACTTCAGCGACTGTGGAGTCTACATCCTGCAGTATGTGGAGAGCTTCTTCGAGGTGAGACCGAGAACTTGATTTCAAATCCTCCCCCCTGAAAACCTAAAAGATAAGAGTCTGCAGCTTCCTCCTTCAAAATAAAATACAGGTACAAGCAGTAAATGCTACGTCCTGCAGGGGGGTGGAGCTTCAGGGGGGTGATGAGCTCATAGACATGTAAAGCCATGCTTGTTATAATTAAGCTGTAACCATGCTGAGGCCCTGTTAGTCCTGGAGCGGTGTGAGTGCAGGCCAGCCAGAGGGGGAGATGGGGAGGGGGGGCAATCGTGCCATAGAATTGTAATAACAAATTTTTGTTCTCTTTTTTTGCAGAATCCCATCCCGAGTTTCCACCTGCCCGTGAACCTGTCCGAGTGGTTTCCTCAGCAGCGGATGAAGACGAAGCGTGAGGAGATCAAGGATCTGATCCTGAGGATTAAAGAGCAACAGGAAGTGGACAAAAGGGAGTCGGACCAGGTCGAGGCGCCAACCGGCTCTTCTGAAGAGCCCGAGATCGAAGAGACTTCTGGGTCCACGGAGCGGCCTTCAAACTTTCCCATCAGCCCCTAAACCCCACCACCACCACCTTCCTCTTCCTGTTTTATCCTCGGTCACTCTGGGGGTTCAGTGAGAGTGGGGGCGGAGCCTGATTGTACGCTGCTGGTTTCACGTCTCGGTTGTCTAAAAACGGTCCCTTAACTTCCCTCCATCACCACAGACATGAAACACCTTTAAATTTGTATGGAATAAAAAGTGTAAATATGCTGGAGTTCTCCCACTGCCTTTGTAATTTTACCGTCTCCTGACTCAGTCGTGAAGCGGCCCCCGTTAAGTTATGTTTTCATCCATGTTCTTCTCTCCGGGAGAGGATCCATCGCAGAAGAAACTGCGGCGCTCTTGCATCCTTATTTTGTATGCTTTCTAGTTGTGTAGAGGAAAAAGAACAAAGACTCTAAAAGAAACTGAATAGAAGACGTTGCTGTTCTTTGTAAGTTATCGATCCACGTGTCTGGAATAAAAAAAAAAGAAAAGAAAAGCGTTTTCCTGAAGTTTGACTTCCAGGTCACGGGTCTCAGACGTAGCTCAGTGCTTGTTGTGTCTCTTCCATGTGGAGTGGATCCATTTCAGCATTAAAAGAAACACAGATGCAAGAAGCACTTCTTTGGACTTAAGAGTTTGATTTGTGCTGTCTGGGAAGTTTCTGTCGTTTTTTTTAATGTTTATTTCTCGGCCCTGAGATGTTTGGAGACTAAAAGAGTTCATTTCAAAGTGCTGATTGTTTCAGATTTTATAAATGTAAAGGGATTAAAAATGAAACGAGCCAAAAGATATACGAGGGAAGAGCCTCATGTTGAAGAAGAGAATCGATTTAAAGGCAGACTGAGAAAGATTTGTTTTAAAAAAAAAAAAACCCAAGAAAAAGTTAAGATAAGAAAATAATTCAGCCTTTTTGCCTTCACCAGTCAGGACGGCTGAAGGGAGACAGGAAATGCTAGGAGGAGAGAGAGGGGGGGAGGGGCGTGCAGAGAAGGGCCGAGGTGGTACCCAAACCCACGACCGCTGAAACGAGGACTACAGCCTCTGACGCTACAAGACGGCTAGGCTACAGGGGCCGAGCAAAAATATCATCTCTCTTCAGGGAGCTGGTGGCCTAGTGGTTGGAGCGCCCACTACATGTACAGAGGCTGAAGTCCTCGAAGTGGACGGCTCATGTTCAGGTCCGACCTGTGGCTCCTCTTAAGCATGTCGTTCCCCTCTCTCTCTCTCTGGTTTCCGACTCTATCCACTGTCCTGTCTCTACAATAAAATCTTTAGTGTGACTGTTCCAGCAGAGACTTCAGCCTTTTTCACACATGCACGTTCACTTCTCTGGAAGTTTTCCAGGACAAGCTGCCTGTTCACACACATCCCAAAAGCCAGATTTAGATTTATGCGTCGGATTTTTGCCGAACTCCGCTTGACCCTTTACCTACACCTCCTCAAACTACGCATCGAAACAACGCAGAGTGCTCTGGGTAGCAGCGTATTTTCTGCATTCACATCATGTCCGGTGTCCCCGCTGTTTTGAAAATTCTGCAGAAGGAAGAAAGCTACCGGTTGGTGGAATCAACTGTTGCTCAGTATTTATCATCTCAAACTCTCGACGTTAAATGCTCAGTTCCAGTCGCCATGGTTACCTGTTCACAAACAGGGACAACAGATGGAAATTAGCTAGTTAGCTAAATCTGGTACAAAGCATCTCTTCTCTATTGAGAGTAATGTTTTTTTTGGTACACTGTCCCTGATAAAAATAAATTAATAAACTAACGAGCAGAGAATGTGGCAGAACCAAAAACTGGACATATACTGTAACAAGCATGATTGAAATCGGACCGCCAACTAGCATTTGTAGTTTTTTTCAGAGCTTCACAGACACACTAGTATGTAGTGCTCGCTACGCTGTAGCTACGATTCATCAGAAGTGTAAACCAGGCTTGAGAAGTGACGGGAGAGGGGAGTTCTCAGGAGGCAAAAAGCATGACTTCAGAAGAACGAGGTGAAAATGGTGGACGCTGTGATGAGCACCTGCTCATTAAAGGCATCAACGTAAACCTCAAAAGAAATGATGTGCAAGAAAAGAAGGCCAATTCTTAAAAATCTTAAAGGGGACATATTCTGACAAATCCACTGTGACATCACAAGGAGAGCACATTTGAAACGGAAAATTTTTTCTATGTTGTAAGACTCATGCAGACCACAAACAAAGGACTGGATGGGTTTATTTCACATGTTGTGGGTCAGTAGACTCTCAGGTTACACAGATATATGTTCACAAACACTGTAAGAGGATTTTAAATAATATGTCCCCTTTAAATGTTTTGACTTTTAACCCGAGCAAAAAAAAATCTCAACGAAGCCAAGTTTTCATTTTTATTTCTTTTAACTGGTGGAAATGGGCTTCCATAGTTTGCAATGAAGACCAGAAGAAAACATTTAGTTCATGTGTGTTTATTCAGGATGTCAAACTTCAGTTTGTTCACACATCAAATCAGTAAAGTGTGTTCAATCATTTCATGAACACATTCACTTCATCCACACAATCACTTTGTTTGATCAGAATCTCCACTCACAGAAAACAATGATTTATCTCCTTATTGATTTAATCAGGAGGATTACATTTTTAAAACACCTCAGAGGACATTTTTACATCACTTTGAATATGAACAACAACATTTATTCTGACTAACTCATTTCTTTAAGTGTGATTTTATAGATTTTCTACAAATGTACAAAGTGGTGAGAAGAGAAAATCAGCATGAAAGAAAAGTTTTCTGCTCTCTCTCTCTCTTCAGACTCCTGAATCAGAACAGAAACAACAGAAAATATAAATGTATGAAAACAAATAATCAAACATGGAGAGCAGAGAGAAGTTGATATTTATCACTCAGAGAAATGTCAGTTCAGGTGAACAAAAGTCATCCTGAGCAGTGAAAGAGTCCACGGCTAAACAGACACAGGAAGGAGTGTCACTTAAAGACACTCAAACATTTACAGAACAGACGAGAAGAGGTCAAAGTACCGCCCATAAAGTTTGATTGACAGGTGACCACGATCAGATCTCAGCAATGAGCGTGGATAAAAATCAAGTTGAAGATTTAAAACACAGCAAGTTAAACATCTGTCTCGTTAATGACTTCTGTCTATTTCAGTTTACACAACTCAGCAGAGCCTCCAAAACAACCAAACCTGAGTCCAGCATGTAGAGGCTGAGTGAATGTGGTCTGGACTCTGTGGAGGAGAGTCATGGTTTCAGAGATGCTGTAGAAGGACAGAATACCTGCTCTGTGATCCAGGTACACTCCTACTCTGGAGGACCGAGGACCTGAGACAGGAGTGCAGACATTGTTGTAATAAAAGTTATAACTGTTGTTGTTACAATATAACCTCCAAGATTTGTCATTACCTCCAAATGCACACTCATTCGATCTCCCTGCTCTGCTGATATTCTTGTATGTGACTGCTACAGAAATTTCTGTTCCTTTCTTCTCCACTTCCCAGTAACAACGTCCAGTCAGACTCTCTTTACTCAGGACCTGCTCCCATCCAGTGAATCTGTCTGGGTGACTAGAATAAGGATGGATCTCTCTCGTTACTGTTACTTTTCTGTTCCCATCAGATAATAACAGCCGTGTGTTTGCTGTGTTTGGATCCAGTGTGATGTCACATGAATATTTTAAGAACTCAGCTCTGGTCTTGGGCTCTGGTTCTGGTTGTGACAGTAAAACATCCACTTCAGTCACTGTCTGTGAGATGTTTGTCCATTTCTCTCTCAGGACGTCCTGTAGTTTATCTCTGACTTCTGACACAGCCGCTGTCACGTCCTCAAAGTACCTCAGAGGACGGATCTTGATGCTGGATGAGTGTGTAGATTCACTGAGTGGTGACAGTGAGGGGTAGTCGTGTAGAAACTGGTTGTGGTCCTGTGTGTGTGACAGCTTCTTCATCTCAGCGTCTCTCCTCTTCAGCTCAGTGATCTCCTGCTCCAGCTTCTCCTGAAGCTCTCTGACTCGACTCACTTCAGTTTGCTGCTGGGATCTGACCTGCTGCTTCACATCAGAGCGTCTTTTCTCCATGAGACGGATCAGCTCAGTGAACATCTTCTCACTGTTCCCCACTGTTTTATCAGCGGAGCCATTGATAGCCTCCACCTCCTGTTGGAGCAGCTTCACATCTTTCTCTCTGTCCTGGATTCTCTGCTGGATGTTTTGTCGACTCACCTCCAGCTCTCTCTGCTTCTCGCTCCTTTCTGCTGCAGCTGAGACTGTGTCATGACCTTTGTGTTCATCCATTAAACAGAGGTGACAGATAGACTGCTGATCAGTGCGACAAAATACTTTCATCACCTCATCATGACGAGAGCAGACGTTCTCCTGGAGCTTCTTGGAGGGCTCCACCAGCTTGTGTTTCTTAAATGGAGCTGCTTCATAATGAGGCTGGAGGTGTTTCTCACAGTAAGAAGCCAGACACTGCAGACAGGACTTACAGGCTTTCAGTTTTCTCCCGGTGCAGACATCACAGGCCACATCTTCAGATCCAGCATAGCAGTGATCAGCAGGAGCAGCTTGGAGTCCAGTCTTCTTCAGCTCCTCCACTAAATCTGCCAACATGGTGTTTTTCCTCAGGTCAGGCCTCGCTGTGAAGGTCTGTCTACACTGAGGGCAGCTGTAGACTGTCTTCTCATCCTCTGTATCCCAGTGGCTTTTAATACACTTCATGCAGTAACTGTGTCCACAGGAAAGAGTCCCGGATCCTTCAGGAGATCCAGACAGATCGAACAAGAGAAGGTTTCCCGGTCCAGCTGAACTCCTTTCTGCGCCATTTCTCCTCTCGGTAACAACGACTGTCTGAGATTCACTTCCTCATAACTGAAACAAGTTTCACCTCTGATCTACAAAGCATGTGTCTGTGCATGTGACTGTGCAGCTCTTGTTGGTTACACCCATCCTCAAACTGTAGATCTAAAGGGGAGGGAACCAGGAAGTATGAGGACCGAGTGCAGCAGGCTGTGTTTGAGAGCAGGAAGAAGAGGGAGGGCTGATCGAACTACGATTCATTCCAGGAAGAGGAGCGGTTTGAGAGAGATACTTGTTTACAACAGAGAACATTTCTCTTTTAAAAACACTTCTCCTTTCAGATTTTAGAAAAGGTGTCACACTCACTTTATTTCAAAATAAAAGCAGGGTTGAATATAAACATCAAGTAAAGTATACTCTCAGTATAAGGAGGTACAAAACTTCTAAATATTGTAGAATGATCGAGGGTCGAGTTACTTTTACCACACAGGTTTATTGTAGATGATCAACATACAGCTCCATTTTCAGGAGAGAAAATAACGCAGTGCAAAAGCATGTTCTGCCTGTCGTAAAGCAGTCTAGTGCCGTAAACATAACGCTGTCGTAACAACTCCTGTAACAGTCTTTAACTTGGAGTACTGTCATCTACATGCAGATGTGACAAATACAACCGTAAAGGGAGGTAGTTATACACACATCAAGTAGGAGCAGGGCAGTTATAAACCAGCAACTGAGGAAGAATGATTATAGTTACCCGTTTGAGTCAAAGGTCTGTATTAAACTGAGACATTTCTGTCAACACTTTCATGTTTTTTTTCTAATTGACAAAAACCAAAAACATTAAAGAGGACATATCCCCCTCCTCCACCTTTTCAAACAGTCCCCTCCTCCACCTTTTCAAACAGTCCCCTGTGGTCTAAATGAAACATCTGTGCTGTGCTTTGGTCAAAATATAACATGAATCAAGCACCAGAGGAGGTTTGTGACCCTGTATAAACCAGCTCTCTCAGAACGCTCCGTTTTGGTGTGTGTGTCTCTTTAAATGTAATGACCCCCCCTGAGTTTCCCGTAGACATCACTCCTCTGTAGAGA